GCTTGACAAGGTGACACTAGAAGATGTATGGTCTGGTCACAAACCAAGCTTAAGTCATTTGAGAGTTTCCAGTTTGATTGCATTTCGACACATTCTGGGTCAACTTCGAAGAAAGTTGGATGACAAGGGTGAAATGATGTTACTTGTTGGTTACCACCCTACCGGAGGCTACAAATTGTTTGATGTCAGTAGCAAGAAGATTGTGATAAGTCGAGATGTCGTAATTGAGGAGTTGAGGCTGTTTGATAGCAAGAAAAGTCAGATTTCAGTAGCAGAAATCGGTTTCCAGAAACAGGGAAACGGTTTCCCCCTGTTTCTGCTGAACCTAAAATTGGGATTTTCGAAGAAGAAACCGATTTCCAGCTGAAAATGCAGTTTTTCAGGAAACAACAGAGGCTATGCAACAGCCACCTTCAATGTCTGGAAATGCCGAAAACGCAGAAAACAGCAAGAGACCAACTAGGCAAAGGGGATTGCCTCAAAGGCTCCAAGATTGTGAAGTGTTCCATGATAATGAGATCAATAAGGATGGCGATCTCATACACTTTGCACTTATGGCCGAATCCGAACCCTTGAGTACGGAGGAGGCACTAAGTGATCCAAAGTTGGTACGTGCTATGAAGGAAGAACTGAAATCGATTGAGAAGAACAATACTGGGAGTTGGTCGACTTGCCGGAAAGGAAGAAGCCAATCGGTGTGAAATGGGTCTATAAGGTGAAAGCGAATCCTAAAGGCGAGATAGTCAAGCATAAGACTCGACTTGTGCAAAGGATTTTTGCAATGTGAAAGAGCATAGACTACGAAGAATTATTTGCACCGGTAGCTCGAATAGAGACCATCCGGCTTGTTGTTGCTATTGCAAATAGTAACAGTTGGCCGCTTTATCAAATGGATGTGAAATCCGCCTTCTTGAATGGTCCTCTTGAAGAAGAAGTGTATGTGGGGCAGCCACCCAGTTTTGTTGTGAAGAATCAAGAGGATATGGTCTACAAGTTGAGAAAAACACTCTATGGTTTGAAACAAGCTCCAAGAGCTTGGAACAAACGCATAGATGGGTTCTTCCTACATGTTGGCTTCAAGAAGTATGTAGCCGAACATGGTGTCTATGTGAAGAGGGATGCAAGTAAAGATGCAATTATTCTTTGCCTATATGTGGATGATTTGTTGATTACAGGCAGCAATGAAGCAAAGATTTCAAAGTTCAAAGGAGAGCTTATGGAAGAATTTGAGATGTGTGACCTTGGTGTGATGCAATACTTCCTTGGCATTGAGTTCCATAGATCAAAGTGGGGATGCTTATGCATCAAAGGAAGTATGCACTTGAGATACTAAAAAGGTGTGAAATGGGGCATTGTAATGCGACAATTACACCAATGGAAGCAAGGTTGCAGTTGTCCAAGAGTGAGGATGAACAAGATGTGGATCCAACTCAATATAGGAGGTTGATTGGATCACTAAGGTACTTGTGCAATACCCGGCCAGATTTGGCGTTTAGTGTCGGAATTGCAAGTAGGTTCATGGAGAGGCCTAAGGTATCACACTGGGCTGCAATCAAGAGGATCCTAAGATACATCAAAGGAACTCTTGGTTGTGGAATACTCTTTCCGCAATGGATAATGGCGGTAAATGCGAATTACTTGGTTATACCGATTCTAGTTGGTGCGGGATAAAGATGATAGGAAGCCAACGACCGGCTATCTCTTTATGTTCGGAGGAGCACCAATCTCTTGGTGTTCTAAAAAGGAACCGATGGTAGCACTCTCTTCTTGCGAAGGCTGAGTATGTAGCTGCGTCATTGTGTGCGTGCCAAGCGATGTGGCTTATATTGAGAGAATTGGACAACAGCTTTGAAAGTGTTGTCACATTGATGGTTGATAACATTTCTGGCCATCAATCTAGCCAAGAATCCATTGCACATGGGAGAAGTAAACATATCGAAATGTGCTTTCACTACCTAAGGGATCTGGTGTGTGCTGGGTAGTTGAGGTTAGCCTACTGCAGAAGTGAAGAACAAATTGCGGATTTGTTGACAAAAGCGGTTTCAAATGATGTGTTCAAACGGCTATTGAGGAGTTTAAACATGAGAAATGTGGAGCATTATCTTAAGGTGGTGTGTTGATGTTTGAGTAAGATAAACGCAAGGGAATAAAGCTCAGAAGCTGGTTTGAAGAAACAACTTAAATGGATAAGCTGGTTGAAGGCTTGCAGCAAACAGTGCAAGAATTGAAATTTTCGAATGAGAAACGATTTCCAGCGCGAAATCCAGTTTTCTGTTTTTCAGTTTTGACAGTTGTAACAGTTAGTTAGTTTGTTACATGTTTAGCACTATATAAGGGAATGTATTGTAGTATGTAACAACCAATATATACCATTGTGAATAAAGTTTCTCAATTCTCCTCAATTCTCAACTCTCTCTCTCTCTCTCTCTCTCTCTCTCTCTCTCTCTCTCTCTCTCTCTCTCTCTCTCTCTCTCTCTCTCTCTCTCTCTCTCTCTCTCTCTCACTCTCTCTCTCTCTCTCTCTCTCTCTCTCTCTCTCTCTCTCTCTCTCTCTCTCTCTCTCTCTCTCTCTCTCTCTCTCTCTCTCTCTCTCTCTCTCTCTCTCTCTCTTCTCTCTCTCTCTCTCTCTCTCTCTCTCTCTCTCTCTCTCTCTCTCTCTCTCTCTCTCTCTCTCTCTCTCTCTCTCTCTCTCTCTCTCTCAATTTCATCTTCATTTTTCCCATTTTCCCTTTACACCATTTTTATCCACCCTCCATTGTTTTGTGTTCTAACATAATCTTAAGTAAAATAGTGACATCCTGAGATTTAATTTTCAATAATGGCAGTTTGATATTTTAATTTTTAAAAGTGGCATTTAAGTCAAAAAAAAATCTCGTTGTGATCGATTAAAATGCAAGAAATAATGTCTAAGAGAATCAAATTGAAAAAGTAATGATTTGATTAAAAAACATTCACAATAATACATGACTAAAATAAAAGTTGCAACATTTCATTCCCAAAGAAAAATAACAATCACATGAAATATAGCAATGCATAAAATAACATTACAAACATTCTTATAATCCAAAAAAGATTAAAAAACATTCACAAAATAATACATGACTAAAATAAAAGTTGCAACATTTCATTCCCAAAGAAAAATAACAATCACATGAAATATAGCAATGCATAAAATAACATTACAAACATTCTTATAATCCAAAAAAGATTGACCAAATACTAGCTTAAAATAACAAAGCATAACAAAGAAATATTCAAACAGATCTAACATCTCCTAGGTTGTTCCTTTCAACTGAAACCTTAAACACATATTTGTCCTCATCAACCAACTCAAAGAAACAAATATCTCCTGTCTCCAATTTGCATTCTCTCATAAATTTTCTCCAACCTGCATACAATGTACTGTGTTTGGGATAATAACTCACTTTCACAAACCAAGATTTTTCGCCCACTTTCAATTCCAAGAATTTTCCATGACATCCAGTATGTCTATTCATAAACTCATTTGGTACATTCTGTAAATAAAAACAAAATATCATTAATTTATGTATTTAATCACAAACTATACTTTAAGTTAATTAATCATACCGGGTATGATGAATTCACAACAATTTCAAATGTATTTTCTGCAGTCACACTATAATCTTCTGATGAATCTGCATAAATAAAATTACTAGATTAAAGATCTATTTTCTTTTTTCAAAAATATTTAAAACAATATTATAATAATTTTAGTTAGAAAAATACCCTCTAGAACATGTAATTTTGGGCAGCTCCTAGAAGTTTCTCCAATGTCTTTTCTCTTTGCAATATTATCACAAGATTTTCCTTCTTTGCAACCTAATAATAATAAAGTTGGAGAAAATTGATTAATATATGTAGATCAAATATTAATAAAATAAAAAATCATAGAGAAATAAAAAACCTTTCAACTTCTTAGGGCTTGGATTTTCTTCTCCTCCTCGAATAATAGTAACAGCGAATGAAGGTGGTTGAAGTTGAATCATCTCAAATATACAAACATCATTAACTTGTAACATATACTTTTGAATAACTGATTTCCAACCGGAACTCACAACAGATCGACTATAGATATCATCGAAATTCATCTTAACTTTTATTATTCTGTCTTCACCGACTCTTATGAATGCCTTCCCTCTGAACTTGTTCAAGTATTCTCGAGAAAAATCGGTTGGTATCCTCTGATTCATTCAATGCATGGATTCATTAGATATATATTAAACCTATAGCAACAAAGTCTCTTACAAAATTGTCAACACACTTTTCTATTTTCTATAGTGATGTGATATTCAAATGGCGAAATACTTACTAATCTACAGCTTTGGATAGAAGATGGTGTCACTTTAACTTCAAAACTTGGATTCGCATTCGCAGTTTCGGTTGTTGGACACTCTTTAGGCATCTTATTCATGATTCCTATGTTAGAACCTGCATTGCATTGTTAAAAAACAAATATATATACTTAAATCATTCACAAGTTAGAAAAAAAAATGCAGATGAGCTCACCTGAAACATTTTCATGTGTTGGATCAAAATCTATAGCTTTTCTCTTGCCATTAACTTTTGTCATTTGAACTTGCATGCATGGTTCAGTCTCATTTAAATTCTTGTCACTGTTGTCACTCACTTCAATAATGTCTTCACTAACTTCACTTACAAATTTTATATGGGAATAATCTATTTCCATATTAGTCATGTCATATATTTTAACCTTAAAATATGATTCAGATATATATTTGAAAGTTATAAAACAACCATATTCTAAAAATTTTGCAAGTTTTTCCCAGTTCTTTTGAAGCCAAATATCACCGTCACGTTCCACCCAAAATATTTTGTGTTCGACCCCATTCGGGAGTTTAAGGGATATCGGATTTGAAGTCCCTTTCCAATATTTCCTGATGAATTTCCTTGGAAGTCTCTGAAAACAAATAGATAAACATTTTTATTACAAAGAAAAAAAAAGAAATATATAAATCTTTATATATAAATGAAATTTCTTTCTCATATGCTTACTATCTCCTCTTTCTGATTTTTGATGACCTTGAAAAATTTAGGATGATAAAATGCCATGACTCAAGAGAAATTAGAGAAATGTTTATGGCTCTCAAGCAGTGTATAGAAAGGGTCAATATATAGTAAACTGCCCACTATGCAAACTCTATCTTCCCAGTTGCACCTTTATAAAGGCAGATTCTTACATAGAGTTGAATTCTAGTATCTTCTTTATAAAAATTAATTAAAATTATATTTTTTTATTAATAAATTATTATAAAATGATAATATAACATAAAATTTGTTTAATTTGTTTATGCCTCATTATTAATATTACTAGGTGATATTTATATAGATTTGATTCATGTAAAATATTTTACGTAATGTTTATTCATTTCTATATAATAATAAAAAAAATAATATAATAGTTATAATAATAATAATAATAATAATAATAATAATAATAATAATAATAATAATAATAATAATAATAATAATAATAATAATAATATGATATGTTTTTCATAATAAATCTGTTAAATGTAATAATATTTATATTTATTCTAGTGGATTCTATTGGAACCTTGGAACAATTAAATGAGTTTTGTGTTCTTTTACGTTTCAACCAATTGTGATTACATCAGCATTGCATGCGTTTGGAACCTTGAAAACAATTAAACTAGTTTTGTTTTCTAGTATGTTCGAAATCCAGACTACATTTGCATGGCATGCATTTGGAACCTTCAAAAAAGTTACTCCTAGTAAAAATGTTTTGTAGTACATGTACTTTGTATGTTTCCAATATTTTTTTACTAGATTAGGATGTCATAGATCTGTCAATCATACACACTGATCAAAGCATACCGTTGACAAAACAGTCAAAATAATAAAATGGTTTGTCATTGGTTGTGTTAAAGAAGAAAAGCTACTAATATCTAAAATCTGATTTAACTTTTATAGAATTTTTTTTTTAATATAACATATTTTTTCAAAATAATTACTAAATAAATGGACATTTCAAAAAAATGACGAAAATGACTATAATTTTAGTAAGATTTATTATATGAAATGATTACTCAAGTCTTTCAAACTTGATTCGCCATTTCATATGGCGCATGAGTTTATTTTGGTGCCCTAAATACTACACTGAGTCGTTATATGGGATGACGCATCAGGTGTGGGTTTTTTTTTTTAATTTTTGTTTTTTGTTATATTTTGTCACGTTTAATTAAAAAACTAATAAAATTTTTTATTTTTAATAATTTATAAAAAAAATATAAATACAAGAAATAATAAATTATAATATAAAAAGCTTCAATATTGTACAACAAATGAAAAAAAAGAAAATTAATGGTCGGCTCTATTTAAACGACAACCGGTACCACATTAGGGAAGATTCGCGCTGCGTCGAGGTCTACCACGAGGTTGTTGAGGTGTATCTAGTCTTTGCGTGTTTACCTGTGGAAGAGGTATTTGTTGAGATAGCCCCGGCGTATCAGATAAATTTTGAAGCATTTGACCCCAAAAGTCGGGCTAGCCGCTGCCAACGGCACTTCTGTAATTAAGTTCAATACCCATGTTTTCGTAGTTTTGTCGAGGAGGTTGGGTGTGGTGTGGATGGTATGGTTGTCCGAATTGGTACATCGAATCGGTTTGTAAACGATGTATTGGTTGTTGTGGGGTTTGGTAGTCAAAAAGCGGATAAGTATTTTGTTGGTAGGAAGATTGATTGTCTGGTGTGGGGTCAAAAGAGTTACATGTGCTATAGGTGGATGGGGTAAGGTCAAAAGATGTATCAGGGTTATATGCAGAAGTGGTGTCCGTTTCAGAAGGCTGACGGTAGGGGTAAGGCTCTTGTTGTTGTGATTGGGTTGATGGCATGTATAGGTTACGATTTTGGAAGATTGATTGGGTAGGCATAGTCAGATGTTGAGTATAACATGGTGTTTGATGTTGGCCATTGGGTTGCTGCTGTGGGTTCGAGGAAGACGCACGTTGCCTTGGGTTAATCAAATATGTCGGCTCACACACAAATTGTTGTGAGGTTGTAACCGACCTAAACCAAATCATATATTGATAACTTGGTCTAGCCCCTTCCACAATAGGGTCAGTTAAGATGTGTTGATATCGGTTCTTCCAATGCAGACACATCTCTTTCACAAAGTCCTTCCAATGATTTACACTCCATTGTGTATCCACCCTTAGCTGATGCTAGCGTCCCAATGACGTTGGAGCATCTGGAATATCCTGATGCATCCCGAACTATAGTCTCACCCGGTCACTTTGGTGCATCTCCACTGTATTGAACCGAATGATAGGTGTTTTAGATGTTCACACGGCAACATCATTGGCGTTGGGCTGGTGGTCGAGACCCTCGTACGACATCCAGACAAACTACATTAACAATATATGTAATGAGAAATACACGTATGTGTTTATCAATTAGACAAAGTAATGGTAGATAAATTACATCATCTGGCCCAATGTGTTCAATAAGGTTGCGGTACACGATTATGGAGTTCCTGGGACATCTTTGATAATTCATTCCCGGAACAGACCACCTAAAAAAAAGAAACACAAATAAATTAGTTACTAAGAAACATTGCACAAATAATTAACTTACAAAGAAACATCGTTTGTATACTCGTATTGAAAATAAACTTACTTGTTAGCGTATGGGAATGTGAATGGATTGTTGTTGATTGGAGCAAGTGTTGGCATCCTAGACCAACCCACGCTTGAAGGAGATAAGCGCAACCATAAAAAGTACAAGAATTTTTTTTGCATTTTTACATAATACACTATATAGATGGGCGAGGACAGTTGAACCCCAAATATATGTGCACACTTTACTAATGTTGTGCAACAACGGTAAATACATAATATTTACAGTATTCCCAGTACTGTTGGGAAATAAAAAATGGCCAAACAATATCATAATATAGCACCGAGTTTTAAGTATCTTCTTATACTCGGTGGGTTCCCCATTTAACATGATACTATTGTAGTGTTGTTTGAGGTATTTCAAATTAATACCTTGCCCCCTCGATCAACCCTTACGTTGTGGATGAGGTGTGTCGACACATAGAGGGATGCCCAGTAAATCTTTATAAAGTTGGTCATTAACACCAACTTTGTCGTTGACGGCCTTATGGTTGGTGTGTAGGCCAAGTAACATGTATACATCCTGTAAAGTTAGGGTACATTCACTGAAAGATAGGTGAAATGTGTGGGTTTCTGGTATCCATCGTTCTAGCAACGCTAGAATAAATTTGGGATCCAGTGAGTACGATTTGATTTTGATCAAATCACCGAACCCACATGCTTCTAGGTATCCTTCTATTAAAGGGTCGTGTGGTATGTAGTCATGCACACGACATCGAAACCTTGATACATCCTGCGAAAGAATATAAATGTCATTAGGTTTAAAGGAAAATTAAACTTAGTAAAGATCGACAACAAAAAGAAAAATACTTACAAACTCTGTGATATTCTCAATTGTGCCTCTGTGATTGTTGCACATTGTGAGTAGAAACATTATGGATTAAGTTTGCTGAGTGAAGTTTGATGAGTGAAGTTTGCTAAGTGACAAGAAGATTTTGTAGAACGTACGAGGAGTAGAGTTGGTAATGGGATGAGAAGAGTTTATTCCTTGATGAACATGTATTTATAATGGTCAAATGTGATGAGAGGAGTCACATGGTGACGCATGTTAAAGTGTGTAAGTTTCTAAGTGCAGGATGTTAGTTCCATGATTCTATGATTGGCTAAATTTTGGTAAAACATGAAGGTGAGAAAAACAATTAGAGGGGGGGGGGGGGGGTTGAATAAGGGTTTAGAAAATATTATGGCAATTAAAACACAATGATTTTTATCCTGGTTCGTTGAACTCAACTAATCCAGTCCACCCTATCAAGAGTGATTTGCCTTTCTCCACAAGGACTTAATCCACTATAGTCAAACTGATTACATTGTCAAACACTAAGAACAATTGTCTTAGTCTTCTCAAGAACTACTGACCACAACATGGTCTTCTTAAGGAACTTTTACAATCAAATGTAAATTAAACAAGTGTTTAAAATGCTTCTATGAAAGCTATATAACAATTGTGATTTATACACTTAAGATTAAGAACAAATGAAACTATTCAACAAAGAAATATAATTTGTATGAGAGCTTTGAGAGATTTTTCAATAGATTCGTCAATATTCGTCAACTGTAGAAAGTTGTTGAAGGTTTGCTTTTATAGACAAATACGTCCAAGAAGTTGCAAGCTTGAAGACCGTGTACTCCAAAGTAGCTGTAGCCTTTTGTCTTCACATGACTTGACCTTTCCTAGAAGTAGAACGTTCAGAGAAATACTTTTTGCCTGAGTTCTTGTGTCTAGCATAAAATAGGAAAGAGTCGTTTGGAATATGCCAACGGATATATCTTTGAATAATCTTCTTCAACAAGCTTCTATCTCACAGCAATCAACATCAGAGCCTTGAGTGATCAGAGTCTTGATGTTATCAGAGTTTGCTGTATCAGAGTGTTGCAGCAAGTGTCCTTCAGCGTGAGTAACAATCAGAGCAGAGTTTGGAGATCAGATCCTCAGTACTTGCAGCGAACAGTACTATCAGAGTCTTCTGAAAAACAATGCTTGAAACTCTTCATACAAAGTCTTCAGCTATGCTTCAGATGCTTCTGTAGCTTCTGCTTCAGAGTCTTCTGTAGGCAGCGCTCAGAGTCTTCTAACAAGATGCTTCTGACGCTCAGAGTCTTGCGTAGTTCAATGTTCAGATTCATTTTTGCTTTTAGAAGAATATTAAATTTAATATCTGCAACAAAAATACTTGAACAAATTTAAAGTATATAATTTCTTAATACAAAATTTCATTAGTGTTATCATCAAAACATAGAGATATAACTAAGGACCAATATGTGTTCTAACAATCTCCCCCTTTTTGATGATGACAAAAACATAGGAAATTTTGTTCAATAAAAAGATAAATATAACTCCCCCTGAGATTATGAATCTCCTCTTAAATTGAATACAAAGAAAGAATAGAAACTTCCCTTTTTGCATGAGTATTCTT